ACATCACTTAAACAGCTCAGAAGTTTTCTGGGCTTGGCAGGATATTATATGAAGTTCATTAGAGGTTATGCTTTAATAACTAAACCTCTTACTGAACTACTGAAGAAGGGTTCTTTTCAGTGGAATGATGGAGCTACTCAAGCATTTGCAGAACTTAAAAAGGCTTTAACAACTGCTCCAGTACTATCTTTACCTGATTTTGAAAAACAATTTGTGGTAGAAACTGATGCCTCTAGCACTGGCATAGGAGCAGTACTAATGCAGCAAGGACACCCTGTGGCATTTATCAGCAGATCATTGGGTATAAGGTGGCAGAAATTATCAGTTTATGAGAAAGAGTTACTGGCTTTGGTATTTGCAGTCCAAAAATGGGAACAATACTTATTTGGCCAAACGTTTGTTATCAAAACTGATCAGAAAAGCCTGAAGTGGCTGTTGGAACAGAAGATTTCTACCCCATTCCAACAGTTTTGGTTGTCTAAATTGATGGGATTCAGATATGAAATTCAGTACAGGAGTGGGACTGAGAACAAGGTGGCAGATGCTCTCTCTAGAGTTTCAGGAGCTGAATTGCTATGTCTAGCCGTTTCATCTATCAGTTCTGATCTTTTGGACCTAATAAAGAAGAGCTATGAAGGGGATGATAGGATACAACAACTCATAACAGAACTGAAAACAAACTCTAATGATAGAAACAATGCCTATACTTGGCAGGATGATTTAGTGAGAAAGAAAGGTAAAATTCTGGTTGGGAAATGTGAGCTGGTGAAAGAAAAAATTTTGCAATGGGCACACAGTTCACCTGTGGGAGGACATTCAGGAAGGGATGCCACTATCCAAAGAATTAAACACTTATTTCATTGGAAGGGTATGAACAAATCAGTACAAGCTTTCATAAGAGCCTGTATAATCTGTCAAGCTTGCAAATATGATAATGCAGCATATCCTGGCAAGCTTCAGCCTTTACCTATCCCCCAGGAGGTTTGGATGGATATATCAATGGATTTTGTTGAAGGATTACCAAAATCAGGGGGAAGGGATGTTATATTTGTGGTGGTGGATAGAATGAGTAAGTATGCTCATTTTATTACCTTAAAACACCCCTTTTCAGCAGTTGAAGTGGCACAGGCTTACCTAGATAATGTGTTTAAGTTGCATGGATGGCCTAGGACTATTGTAAGTGATAGGGGGTCTGTATTCCTCAGCAATTTTTGGACTGCCCTATTTAGTGTACAAGGAGTAGACTTGCTATTATCAACTTCATTTCACCCCCAAACTGATGGGCAAACTGAAGTGGTTAATAGGTGTCTTGAAACCTATTTGAGGTGTATGTGTAGTGACAAACCAGGAGAATGGCATAAATGGATACCATTGGCTGAGTGGTGGTATAACACCTCATTTCATTCCTCCATCAAAATGACTCCTTATCAGGCTGTCTATAACCAACCTCCTCCTTTGCATCTACCTTACATGGCTGGAGAGACTAAGGTAGAAACAGTTGATAGATCCATGCAGCAAAGAGAAGCCATGATTCAAGTGCTTAGATCACACTTGTTGAAAGCACAGAATCGAATGAAAGTACAGGCTGATAAACATAGGTCTGAAAGAAATTATGAAGTGGGAGAGTGGGTGTGGCTTAAGCTTCAATCTTACGGACAGAATTCTGTAGAACACAGAATTAATGATAAACTTTCTCCTAAATACTATGGCCCATTTCAGATAAGTAAGAAGGTAGGGAAGGTGGCCTATCAACTAGTACTACCAGCCGAAGCTAAGATTCATCATACATTTCATGTGTCCCAGTTGAAAGGATTTAGGGGCGAATTACCAGCTAAAGCCCATATACCTGAATGGTTACATGGAAGATGGGGTGATGCTAAAGTAGAACCTGTAGCCATTTTGGAAAGACAATTGGTGCAGTATGCTAATGCAGCAAGGGTGAAGTTCCTGATACAATGGGAAGGCCAAAATCCTGAAGATGCTACATGGGAATGGTCAGATGTTATAAAAAAGATGTATCCAGTGTTTTACAGCAGCATGACTCGAGGACAAGTCAATCTTTAAGGAGGGAGTATTTGATATAGTTGAAATGGATTGCCAGATCATCATTTCTTATTTTGGGTGGTTAGGGGTTATGCGTGTAATTAGAAGCTATCAAAATAGAACACGTGGCGAGTCTGTTGAGTTAGTTTGTTGAGCTGAGCTAACTTTGAACTTGTAATCAGTCTATATAGCTTCGGTTGTACAGGAGAAATGATATGAATATCTTGATTCTTGATTGTCTTCTTTCCCAATCTATCTCCTCTCTATTACTCTGTTAATTTTCAGCATATGAGTCTCGTTATCTACTTCTCTTACATTTAATAGATAGCCTGATTCATATCATAGTATGTTTTTAGTTGGACCGAAATTTATTTGTCTGATCTAGTTTAGTTTGATTTTGTCTATTCTGAACTGCTCTGGTAAATGTCTTTGTCTTTCTAGTTTTAAGTCTACAAATTTGTATTGCTTATATCTTATTGGTGTTGATAAAAATGTGTAATTTTGAAAAAACAACAAAGAAAAGCAAAATTGTTCAAAAAGATAAAATTTGAGAGCCTGTTTGGTAACATTGAAATTGTCTGAATCGGCTGATTCTGATGAAATTTATGAAGGTATGGCTTAAATAGTTGTATTGGTTGATTCTGCTGATTTATAAAAAAATTATATTTAAAATACTTTTCATTAATAAAATAAAGAAAAAATTACATGAAAAAAATAACTAAACTAGTCTTCTACAGTAACTTCAGCCAATGCAGGTAGAAAAGTAACTCCAACTTTACTCATTTTGATTATTACAATATTGAGCGCACAAATCGAACACGATTACCAAACGGGCTTTGGGTCATTTTTTTTTATAAAAGTGAAAGAATAAGATATTTGTGAATTTGATGATAGTTTGCAATTAAATAATACGTTGTATATTAATCCTTTCTTATTTTATTGTGTAATTTGACCACATGTTGATTTTCCAAATATGTTTCCATTCACTTACAAAAAAAAGTTTCTATTCGATATATGAGGTAGAAAGTAAAAGAGTTTTAGTTATTTAGTGACTCTACACAAATACGGAGTATTACCTCGAAAAGTATGAATATATTTTAAAATAATTTAATAATATAGTTTGTGTATCTAAATCTACACACTATATACAAATGAGGATATGATCTAATATTCTAATGAGAGGAAAGATAAAGAATATGATCTGTTAAGTTTAATAATTAGGTTTGTCTGAAATAAAATATATATAGTTAAATCAGAAAACATGTTGTCATTTCGCAAATAATTTAGAAAACTATATCTTAGAAAATGTACCCAGAGCCAAGCATGAATGTGCACCTAAATCAACAATATACGTGTACCAAAATGAATTAATTAAGGACAACATTACTAGAAGTATCATTCTCACTAGAATTAGACACTTTTTTTGGCACAAACTTATACGTAGTATGTTAGTGCAATCAACACTTTTTTTTTTTTTTATGTTAGTGCAATTTTAGATTTTGTTGGCCAAAACACAAAACCATGAATTTCAAGCATAAGCCACGAAGATCAGGGCACATAGAGGAACAAAGATCAAGTAAACAATGTAGTGATCAGTCCCTTGAACAACAACCAATCAACAAATCACAGCATAATATCAGCCAAAGTTCAATACAAAAAGAATGAAGGTGAAATTTCCAGTAACTAATTACCCAATACCCCTAACAACGAACAACCTCCATTTGCTGGAACCTAATCCAAGTTCACCTATGAGCTGTAATTAGAGCCTCAATGAATCGTAATCCATGAAACCGTGGAGCAAATTTCTCCCTATTGGCCATTTTCTCCACACTTGATGAAGCTGTTGTGATGGAGGGTTGCGATAATATGAGAGCCCCTCGCTGGGAAATAGGTTGATGTTCGACTCATTATCGCCGGCGGGGGCGAGGAGAGCCACGGTGGAAGCGGCAAGCACGGAGGCAACCAATGTGCATGTTAGCATGTAGCCTTCATTTTTCGTCAAGAAAGGGGAATGAACGAATAGATCTGTGAGAGCTCGGATTTAAGTGAGGGAAATCCGACGAGATAGCCGGATAAATCAATTTGCTGGTCTTGTCTGAACTGGTCTGGTTTGGTAATGTCTGGTCTCTTTGTATTTTTATAATTATCCAAGTCTGGTCTAGTCTGGTCTGGGACAGATTACAGTCCAAATAAAAACATCATGAGTCTCATTTTAAAGAATAATGTACTCTCTCCATCCCAAAATGGTGATCCTATATTTTTTATTTGAGTTGTTTCAAAATGATAGTCCTATTTCTCTTTTTGGTAAGGAAAGTAAAATGGATTATCATTTATGTCATTCCTTTTAATGAACAGTAAAAATAAAGGAATGAACAATGAAAGTAAGGTTATATGAGTCATTTTATCTCACTTTCTTATTATTTGAACCCAAAAATATATTACCATCAATTAGATTCGGGAGTAATATTAGGAGTTTTTACTTGAATTGAAATTTTCTGGTCTAAGTCTGGTATGATTTGTTTTGATGAGATTGGGATCCTCTACTACACGACAGAGTGCCTTACGCACATGGGACCGTCGGATGGGAGAAGAGAAACCTCGTGATCTGCACTTCAACATCTCCGACCATCCATGTTTTGGTCGGATGGTTCCCGAGAGCCGGACACTGTTCCTTGCTTTGAAGTATGACAGATGTTCCTGATCCGATATGATGCATGTCTGATTTATGTGTATTGTACAGATATGATATAATCTAGTCCTTTTAAGTCTTTGTGATTTTGTCTTGTTTATTTAAGTCTTGTGGAACAAAAATCAATTCAAAGAAAATCTTATAACCTATTCCGTACAACATTTACTATAATAATTAAGACTACATCCATAAAAATAAATTTAACATTAATAAATTGCTGAGTAAAATGTCGTACGTGTACTAGTACAACACTACCTATAAATAAAAGTGGCCATACTTTCCCTGTCTCACCTTACCCACACCCACCTTTCCAATTCTATTCCCTTCGGCTTGGCATCACTTTTCTTGAATTTTCTTGATTTAGATTAGACAGGTGTCTGATCAGTGTTCCGCTTGGAAAGATTTTGGCTTTTGGGGTTTGGACATGGAGAAGGTGAACTTTGTGAAGAATGGACAGATGAGGTTACCCCCGGGTTTCAGGTTCCACCCCACCGACGAGGAGCTGGTGGTACAGTACTTGAAGCGTAAGGTGCTCTCCCTCCCTTTGCCGGCCACCGTCATCCCTGTCATCGACCTCTGCAAATCTGATCCTTGGGATTTGCCAGGTTAGCTTTTCTTACTTCACTTTCCCATGGCTAAAAATCAAGCTCCCCCCCCCCCCCCCTCTTATCTAACTCATTATTATGTTATGTATGTATGTAAGAGGCGGCGAACTTCTTACCTTGTTGCTTGCTTATGTCTTTAGGTTTCCTCTTATACTCCGATGCTCTTATTTCCATCTGATTTTACAAGCTTGTTAATATTAGTAAAACTGTATGATTAGAATTAAAGCAGGTTAGTCTCGCAAAAATAAAAAATTAAGCAGGTTAGAGTTAGAACTTAGAAGTCTTCTTTCAGGGAGGGATAAAGTATGTCTTACTCCGTAGTTACTACGAAGTAGTTACTACCATACCGCAATTTATTTGTCATATTTTTCTTTTTTATTTTTCATAAAAAATATTCGTTTTTTTCCATTTCGAATACCAGCAGGTTTTTAATTTTTCTACTTCACCTTTTTACTTTACAATTATAAAAATAATGCTCCGTATGACATAATAGATTCACTTGAAACAATATCTTTAAAAGTGAACTATGGTTTGCTTCTTTTCATAAAAAGATTAAAGTGGCCTCACATTTTGGAAGGAGAGCAGTATTTATAAGGTGAATTAGAATAGCCCCTAGACTAGAGTTATTATTTGAGAGGAGATTAATAATGTATGGGAAGTTGAAGATAGAGTTTGATTTTGCAGGTGATTGGGAGCAAGAGAGGTATTTTTTCAGTACTAGGGAGGCAAAGTATTCGAATGGGAACAGGTCAAACAGGGGAGCTGTTTCTGGGTACTGGAAGGCCACTGGGATTGACAAACAGGTAGTGAGTTGTAGAGGAGGACACCATGTTGTTGGGATGAAGAAGACCCTTGTTTTTTACCAAGGCAAAGCCCCCCGTGGCTCCAGGACCGACTGGATCATGCATGAATATCGCCTTGCCAATTCCCCAATCAACAATAAGGTGAAGAGAGTTCACTCTTGCTCACCTTGTTTTGTTTTCCCAAATTGACCTCGTCTAATCTCGCCTTTCATCTGTCCAACCGCTGCTTCCACCCTGTCAAGAGAGGTTTAGAGTATAATTGTTAGAAATCAGTATTGCATTAAACGCTCAACTGAGTCATTCATAAGCTACATTGGGCAAATCACTAAAAAATGTTGAATACTATAGAATAATAAACTACTTTGATCAAATCATACTAAAAGATTGAGTTGAGACTGAATAACTTGAACATCATGTCATCTTCATCCTTAAACACTAGTGATCATAGGACTAAAGCGCAAATTAGCAGGGTTAAGGAAATTTAAACAAGTTTGAGCTTAAAATGGCAATGCGAGATTGATTAAGGTTGAGTGATATTTTTTACAAACATGCTAATTAGTAGAGCTGTAGAGCCATAGAGGCATTCACCAGTTGGTTTTGCTGGTTTTTGGTTGGTTAGTTTGGTGTTGAACATGTAGTTGTGGCATGTTTGGGTCGGTTTTAGTTGGTTCTTTTGGATTTTCATGTGGGTAAACTTCTCACTGAATCACCTATTGTTTGATCGGGTTTGGATGATTTATATGGAGTATTTTGGTTAGCTCAGGCATATTTGGCTTCATTTATGTGCAGGACAACTGGGTGATCTGCCGCATATTTTTGAAGAAGAGGGCAGGGGCAAAGACGGGAGAAGATGAGATCGAGAACATGAGGGGAGTAGCACCAGCGAATATAGTTAACACAATCGAACCAGTTTTCTACAATTTCTTAGCTAGAAGAGAAAGGGCAGATTTAAATGTAGCTCCAGCTTCCTCCTCATCCGGCTCCAGTGGGGTAACTGTGGTTTCGGCATTTCATCTAACAGAAGACGATCACGCAGAAGAAGAAGAAGATAGTAGCAGCTGCTGCAATAGTAGCTTCAGGAGAAAACCTTGTTAATTTGGAATTTCATCTTGTCAGAATAATAACCAACTTGATGTTGTTTTTTCCACCCAATTTCACTCTCTTCCACATTACAGTATTTCAAAAAAGAGAAAAGAAAAAGTGGGCATCAAGTTATTAATCCCATCTTATTATCATCATATGTACAAAGATGATGTTTAAAACAAGTTTCCTTGTGCTCTGCTAAATGGAGGATTTCGTGACAGGAACAAAGCTTCCATCTTTACGGCACTAACAAAGCTGGAATTTGCCGCGAAAGAAAAGCAAAAAGAGAACAAAAAAAGGAAATTGCTGATGATGATGCACATGCTTGCACTATTAACTTTTCTTGAAAGAGAATACCTTTTAGAGGAGTCGCACTAGAATAATAACGTATGGTGATGATGATGATCTTTGGTAAGATTGATACGATTCTTCTTTGGAATCTTCAAAAGACCATTTCCCCCTACAGAATCCAATTCATAGACCAATTGGGTTTTGAAGGGTTTCGGATTCTCCTCACGGCAAGTCACATCCGTTTAGGGTTGTTTGAGAGTTGCGCGCGTTCATTTCGTATGGATTTGATGTGTTTATGATGATGTAGCTGTTGTGTTAGATCTTTTCTTTATAAGCTTTCTCGTGAAATAATAGGAGAATAAGCATGCTACATAAAAAAAAGCTTGAGAAAGTTGTTAGTATTGAAAATTTTCTATTCATAACTACAACAAAATTATAAACTCTCTCACTTAACTATTACAAAAAATCAACCCTCGTATAGACTCACACTACAAGTGTATTTACTCACCACTTTTCTCTATGATCTTTTATGCTATTGAACAAGCAAGAATAATCCTATTTATAGGAAAATGCTGGGAGACATCTGCTTGTTCCCCATATATGATCCCATGTTTCTCCATACCCTTTTAATTGATGGAGGATGAAACACCATGCCATGGAATGAGTGTGTGCAGGGGCGGACCCAGGAAATTCATGTTGCATGGGCCATAATTTAAACAAAAACAATCTAGGTCTTAATCAAAATAATTTTTCATACACACACACACACACACTAATTTTTTTTATTCTTGCAAGGGCGGTGGCCCCCTGGGTCTCTACTACAGTCCGCCACTAGGTGTGTGTATGGGAGCTGCAACAATCTTACAAATCTCTCCGTCCAACTTTTTTCGTAGCTCGCTCATTCCAACGATGTTTGTACATATTTTGTGCTTCTCTTGTGTTACCACTTTGGTTAACATGTGTGCGACATTCCTGCCCGTGTGTGTTTTCGAGCGCTTCAGCTCATCTTCCTCATCTGCTTCTCTTAGCCAGTGATATCGAACATCAATGTGTTTTGTGCGTCAATGATACATCGAGTTCTTGCTGAGATCCATATCCCTCTGACTATCACAATGAATGATGTACTGCTGTTGAGGAAACCCCAACTCTTGGAGAAAACGTTTCAGCCACTTGAGCTCTTTCCCAAATTCAACAGCGGCAATGTATCCAGCTTCTGTCGTAGACAACGTTACACACCTTTGTAACTTGGATTGCCACGAGACTGCTCCCCCTGCTAATGTGAATTTGTAACTTGATGTAGATTATTTACTATCAAGATCTTCAGCCATATCAACGTCTGTATAACATTCCAAGATTGTTTTCGGTTCCCCGTAGCACAAACATAGCTTTGATATATACCCTTTAGATACCCGAGTGTCCATTTGACAACTTCCTAATGTTCTTTTCCTGGATATGACAAGTATCTGCTTACAACACCAACAACGTGATCAATATCACGTCTTGTACACACCATTGCATACATCAAACTTCTCAGTGCTGAAGAGTAGGGCACCGCTTTCATTATGTCCCTTTCTTTGTCAGAGGAAGGACAACTTTCCTTACTCAACTTGAAGTGATTGGATATCGGAGTGCCCAGAGGCTTGACACTATCCATGTTGAACCTTTTGATCACGCGTTCAACATACTCCTCTTGTGATAAGTACAACTTACTTGCCTTCCGATCACGATAAATTTCCATGCCTAAAATTTGTTTTGTTGGACCCGCGTCTTTCATATAAAAAAAACTTAGACAAATCTTGCTTCAAGTTGTTGATGAGGGTCACATCTAGCATATCATTCACATAGAGCAAAAGGATGATAAGTTTTCCACCTAGGAACTTCTTCAGGTACACGCGGTGGTCTGCAACTGTTCTCTTGTATTGGCGCTTCACCATGAATGAGTCGAACTTCTTGTACCATTGCCTCGGGGCTTGCTTGAGACCGTAGAGACTCTTACTTAACTTGCAACCAAGATGTTCTTTCTTTGGAACTTGGAAATCCTCGGGCTGCTCCATGTATATTTCTTCTTTCATGTCACCATGGAGAAATGTTGTTTTCACATCCATTTGTTCAAGTTGAAGATTTCAACTGACAACTAACCCGAGTACAACTCGAATCGACATCATCTTCACAACCGGCGAATAAATCTCATCATAGTCAAATCATTGCTTCTGTTGGAATCTTTTGACCACGAGTCTTGCCTTGCACCTTGACATTTTTCTTCACCTCGAAACCCCATTTGTTTTTCAAGGCTTTCTTTCCTTTGGGAAGTGGACCAAGTCATAAGTTTGATTCTTCTGCAAGGATTTCATCTCATCTCCCATGGCTTTCCACCAATTGGACTTATCTTGATGAGATTGAGCTTCTCGAAAGCTCCCTGGCTCCCCTTCATTGGTCAGAAGGATCCATTCAGATGTCAGGTATATCTTCTTTGTGGAACTGTTCCTCATTGAAGTACGGGCTGATTAATTTATTGAAATTTTGAGTATACATGTGTGTGTGTGAGAGTACGGTGGAGACAACTATTAAACCAAGGGCGACCGGGCGGCTCGGCGAGGCGTTGCAAATGACTTCATACAGTGGTCACCAGAATACAATTCCCCTGCAATTTCCAAAGGCGCAAGACCAACGACGGCAAATACGCTTTCTCTGCCTTTCCAATCAACAAGAGATATTTTTGTCTTTTAATAATATAGTACCTTAAATATCATTTTTTTTCAAAAACTTCAACTTTTACTTTTTAATTAAAATAACTTCTATTTTCAAACACTATCTACTTTTACTATAAAACATTTTTCCAATAATCACATTTTTCAAAAACACTATCTACTTCTATTTTCAACCATTTTAAACACAGCCTAATTAACTAATGAAAAAAGATAAAGGTACTCCAAAATGGGGTACCCCATTTGTCCCCCACCCTAATGGGTGGCCATAAATGAGGCAACTCATTTATGTGGGGCACCACTTAAATGGGTTGCCTCATTTATGACCACTCATTAAGGTGGGTGACAAATGGGGCACCCCATTTTGGGGGTACCTATAGCAAAGCTGTTAACTAATTAAGAGTCGACAATAAGGGCTTTCTTCGCTGAAGGAGGAGCGCAGATAGGGCTTTATTCCACAGTGCAACAAGATTTCCTCAAGTTTGAGGGCATATAAGCCAGTTTACAAATTTTTAGTCCTTTTTTGTCTACAAGAAATTTTGGTCCTATTTTTGTCCTATCAAAACCTCAAAGTTCTATTTTTTTGTCATTCTTTCTAGAAATTAAACTCAAGTCCTACTATTATTGATCATATTAAATGCAAATAACAATCTAAAATATTGTGACATTAACAATCGCATTTGTTAAAGAAGTCGTAATCTGCAAGTTTAATTTGTGTCTTTTTCTGTATTATTCAATTTTTCGAAGAAATAATGTATTAGTAATAAAATAAGGAAGGAGTGTTACTTATATCTACGTAAATGGGCTTTGACTGTTTTTTTGCTTTGTTTGTTTGCATAACAGTAAGGATGGAGCTTCATTTTTGACGTTGATTAGAGACAACAGAATCTGTGAACCGACTCGGCCTAGATTACAGTGCCCCGCCATCATACATGAGACTTTTTTTTTTGAAAGGGTCATACATGAGACTTTACACCTCAATAGTAAACCAAACAGAAATATTCCCCATCCCACATCCTTCCAACCACCTAGGCCTATCAATGGGTCGGGTCTAGACCCGAACCCGACCCGGATCCGTCTTTTTTTTAGTGGGTATGGGTCTACATTTAATTCCGTTATCCGGACCCGGATCCGGACCCGTTATTTAATGGGTCGGGTATGGTATATGTAGTTCCGACCCGTTTAGGACCCGACCCGTTAATACTTATTTATATATATACATTAGTCCAATATACCTCTTAGATTAGCTGCCACCCACATTATGATTTAATTTAGTTTAATAAATCCTAAGAAGGATCCCTAAGCTAGAGTTTCCAGACCGCAGAGGATTCAAGAAAAAGCTTGTCCAGTTTCCAAAGCCATTAATTTTACTCTTTATTTTAACACTATGTATCTTGCAAATTATAAACAAACTCAAAATTCTCAAAGAAGGCAAAATTATTCTACATTTGCAGTAGAAGAACACTGGAAGAGTCTGTAACACCGTCCCCAAATGTATTTACTTTTACGTAAATGATGTAATAAACCTTATGGAATGATGTATGAATTTACGAAGTTGTAAACTTTTATTTATTCTTTCGCGTGAATAGTAAATTGCACGTGGGACCCACACCGGGAGCGGGGGCCGCCCGACTTTCCCGAGACCATATATTTTATTTATCTTGGTCTAGATAATAAATATATAGTGGTGGATATTTCATTTGGGCCATGGAAAGGCCCGGAGTTGACCGATTGGTCAAAAGAAGCCCAAATTACCGGTACTGGTAATTTAACAAATAACAGCCCGAACTGAATTTCGGAGACTTATAAATTAAAGTTGGGGAATGTATATTCATTATACATGTCATAATGAGTAAGAGCACAAAATATATTTTATTTGACCCGATAAAATAAAATATATTTAAAACAGTCCGAAAAATACAACTTTCGGGACCGATTGTACGGGACAAAAAGGGTTGACCTCCCACATTAGTGGGGGCCAACCCACGTTTTTGCCACTCAAATTGGAGGGGTTGGCCGGCTGGTAAGAGAAGAGAAGCATGGGAGGAGGCTTTGATATGATCTTTATGGCATCAAACAAAAATGAGGTAGCCCCACCCACACTCATTTGTTCAATGAGACAAATGGGTAAGCCTCACCCCTCTCCCTCCCTCATTTTCGGCCAAGAGAAACCCAGGGAGAGCAAAAACCATCCAGCCCCTTTCCCCATTGTTGAAGAAAGCTCAACAAGAAGAAATCCCAAGAAAAGGAGCTAAAGTGCTAAAAGTGTGAAATAATTAAGGTAATGACCTTGTTATACCTTCTTCTTTATTTTTCTTCTACCATACGAGGTATATTGTCACGCCCCGGACCGCGTCCGTGCCACGTAGACAACCGCCGTACAACCCAATAAGAACAACGTAGTTCATTCTTATCAAATCATACAAGGCGTCCGATAGATTCTATTGCCAAACCGATTAGTAAACCCATACAATCAACATCAATATATAAATCAAACAAATGCGGAAATAAAATATGTTTGACGTTTAGCCCCACGTGGCAAACATGAGCACGCAGGCCCTTCAATAGTTTAATAGAAAACATCGTTCAAATATCCATGAGCAATTTCATAATTTCAAATAAGAATGGAAGCACGAACCACGTCTTCCTTATTTGAGTTCACCCTGGGCAAAGGTGCAGGTAGCAGGACTCTAGCCTCAACCTGAAAAATGTGAGGGCCCCCGAAGGG